CTTTCTCTCCAAGGTCTTGGAAAGAGTTGTCGCCTCCCAACTGCGCTCTTTCCTTTCCACCCATTCTCTTTTCGAACCCCTTCAGTCAGGTTTCCGTGCTGCCCATAGCACAGAAACTGCCCTGGTCAAGGTCACCAATGATATCCTGACCATCTGTGACCAGGGCTCCCTCTGCCTCCTCGTCCTCCTCGACCTATCGGCAGCATTCGATACGGTCGACCACGCTATCCTACTCCACCGCTTGTCCTCCCACCTCAACCTTCAAGGCACTGTCCTTGAGTGGTTTAGGTCGTACCTTTCTCACCGTCTTCACTTTGTCTCGACGAATGGCTTCTCCTCCACCCCCCGCACTGTCTCATGTGGTGTCCCTCAGGGCTCTGTCCTCGGTCCCCTCCTCTTCACCCTCTATATGCTCCCCCTTGGTGACATCATCCGCAGACATGGAGTTAACTTCCACATGTATGCGGATGACACCCAACTCTACCTTTCCTCCTCTACTCTCAACTCCACGACCACCGATGTCCTGACAGCTGCCTGTCCGACATCGAGTCCTGGACGAGAGACAACTTTCTTCAGCTCAACGTGCGAAAAACCGAGGCCCTCCTGATTGGCTCACGTCAGCGCCTCCGCACCTCAGGCGCTGACACCATCAGCATCCAAGGCTGCACTCTCCACCTCTCAAAGCCAGTCAGGAACCTCGGCGTTTTGTTCGACCCTGAGCTGTCCTTTCTCCCTCACATCCGCACCACAACTGGCACCGCCTTCCATCACCTCCGGAACATCGCCAGACTACGGCACTACCTCACCCCTCACGCTGCTGAAACCCTGGTTCACGCCTTTGTCACCTCAAGGCTGGACTATGGGAACTCTCTCCTCGCCGGCCTTCCCGCCACCTCCCTCCACAAGCTGCAGGTCATTCAGAACTCTGCAGCTCGTGTACTGTCCCGCACCAGGCTTCGGGACCACATCACTCCCACCCTCGCTCGCCTCCACTGGCTCCCCATCCCCCAGAGGATTGATTTCAAGATCCTCATCCTCACCTACAAGGCCATTCACGGCCTTGCTCCCTCCTACCTCTCCAACCTACTATCCCCCTACCTACCTGCCCGTACCCTCCGTTCCTCTGGCTCCGGTCTGCTCCACGTCCCCCGCCCCAACCGCCCTACCATCGGTGGTCGGGCCTTCAGCCTCTCAGCCCCAGGCTCTGGAACTCCATCCCCCAGTGCCTTCGCCGCCTCCTCCCTTTCCTCCTTCAAGGCCGGTCTCAAAACCTTTCTCTTTGACCGTGCCTTCAGCTCCCCTCTCGACTCTCTTCCCCCTCCTCGCTCCCTCCCTTCCCTCCCCTCACCCTGACCATTTCCCCCTCCTCGCTCCCTCCCTTCCCTCCCCTCACCCTGACCATTTCCCCCCTGCTCGGGTCATGACCCAACTGTGCAGCGCCTTGGGACGTCCTCCTGACGTGAAAGGCGCTTTATAAATGGAATCTTGTTGTTGTTGTTGTTGTTGTATCACTGCCATCCCTGGCATTGTTACTGTATCACTGCCCCCGCCTGGCATTGCTACTGTGTCACTGCCATCCCTGGCATTGCTACTGTGTCACTGCCATCCCTGGCATTGCTACTGTGTCACTGCCATCCCTGGCATTGCTACTGTGTCACTGCCATCCCTGGCATTGTTACTGTATCACTGCCATCCATGGCATTGTTACTGTATCACTGCCATCCCTGGCATTGCTACTGTGTCACTGCCATCCCTGGCATTGCTACTGTGTCACTGCCATCTCTGGCATTGTTACTGTGGCACTGCCATCCCTGACATTGCTACTGTGTCACTGCCATCCCTGGCATTGTTACTGTGTCACTGCCATCCCTGGCATTGCTACTGTGTCACTGCCATCCCTGGCATTGCTACTGTGTCACTGCCATCCCTGGTGTTGTTACTGTGGCACTGTCCAGCATTGTTACTGTGTCACTGCCATCTCTGGCATTGTTACTGTGTCACTGCCATCCCTGGCATTGTTACTGTATCACTGCCATCCCTGGCATTGTTACTGTGTCACTGCCATCCCTGGCATTGTTACTGTGTCACTGCCATCCCTGGCATTGTTACTGTGTCACTGCCATCCCTGGCGTTGTTACTGTATCACTGCCATCCCTGGCATTGTTAGTGTATCACTGCCATCCCTGGCGTTGTTACTGTATCACTGCCATCCCTGGCATTGTTACTGTATCACTGCCATCCCTGGCATTGTTACTGTATCACTGCCATCCCTGGCATTGCTACTGTGTCACTGCCATCCCTGGCGTTGTTACTGTATCACTGCCATCCCTGGCATTGTTACTGTGTCACTGCCATCCCTGGCATTGTTCCTGTATCACTGCCATCCCTGGCATTGCTACTGTGTCACTGCCATCTCTGGCATTGTTACTGTGGCACTGCCATCCCTGACATTGCTACTGTGTCACTGCCATCTCTGGTGTTGTTACTGTGGCACTGTCCAGCATTGTTACTGTGGCACTGCCATCCCTGGCATTGTTACTGTATCACTGCCATCCCTGGCATTGCTACTGTGTCACTGCCATGTCTGGCATTGTTACTGTGGCACTGCCATCTCTGGTGTTGTTACTGTATCACTGCCATGTCTGGCATTGTTACTGTGGCACTGCTCAGCATTGTTACTGTGGCACTGCCCAGCATTGTTACTGTATTACTGCCCAGCATTGTTACTGTGCCACTGCCCAGCATTGTTACTGTATCACTGCTCGACATTGTTGCTCTGTAACAGTTGTTTGAAGGTGGACATTAACGTCATGTAGGAAAAGCCGAGGGAAAATGTTTTAGGCAATGCTACTACCTTTCAATGCAAGTCATGAAGCAATTCCGCCTTCAACCTGTTGCTCTTCGACATTTCAACAGAAGAATGCACATTTCAGCGCCATTGTTGAATGTGGCCATCTACCTCTGTGAGTTGGGAAGTTGCTTTGAGCACTCAGCAGTGCCATCGGAGTAATTGAGAAGGAAGGAACAATTCCAGGCACCACAGCTCAGGCAGACCTGTTGGGGTTGTAAGATCAGCAAACGTAAAGTCAGTTCCTGGGGGAAAGTTGAGATCCTCAGAATCTAAATGTTGATCATCGCAAGAATGCTGGGTTACACTCAGAGCGGTTCAGTAAGTACAGCATGTGGCATAGACCTCAGGGACATAGCCGTTAGCCACCAAATGACACCACACATGAAGAAAACATTTCACTGACTCATGAGATCCAAATATCCTTTCTAATGTTCAAGACATCACATTCAAGAAATAATAATAATAATAAACCTTACATTTGATATATTGCCTTATCACAGAAATACGATTTGTGAGGTTTGTTCCTCAGGCATTTCAAAGAGCTGTTTTTGTGTCGAAACAGAGGTTTTGCCTGAAAGCAGACGGCCTTGGCTTGTCTGAAAGGTTTTCTTAAAAATGATTTCTATGGAAAAGTTTGAATAAAGAATAACAAGACTTTCATGGCCTAGCAAATCTAAACTTGTGTCCAATATACAGTAAATTGTAATTTCTTACATTCAGAACCTTTATTATCGGTAGCTCACAGGCCTGTTAGGTGTGACTCCTCCAAACCTATCCCTTTGTGCAAAAAGATATCTGGGCAGAGGAAGGTCTGTTAAGAAATGAGTTAGAAACTGGACACCGAACCTGCCATTGCCTAAGACACAGATATTTATAGGTGAAAGGAGAAATAGCTGAAACTTATTCCATTTTGGTCTCTTCTACAGCAGCCAGAAGCATACTTATACCAACAAGTCCCAGCCTCAAATCAACAGTGGTCTTAAAACAGTCTCAAAATAGTGAAATTTAAAGAGTAAACTAACTGTGCTCTGAACCTCAGCCAATAACAATGTCCAATTCAGGTTTTTACAGTGATTAAGTGGACATTGTTAGGCCACAAAATAGGCTTATGAAATTTCACCGGGATTTTAAGAGAAGTTTTGTTACTTTATTCTCTACATTCCATCATTAACACAACAAACATTAATTCCAGGCCCTCTATTTGTTACTGTGTCATTTACCTCTGCTGATATTCAGCACTGACAAATAGCTTCATGTTTGGTGTTGGTTGTGTTACTCATTGTAGCACTAGATATTGGGCAGTATTTTTAACAACAACTTTCAACTTTGCAAATGATTAGTAACATTTTTGTTATGTCTTTCTAATGGAGATTTCCCATTCTGAAAGAATATGATGTCTACTCGTGTAAATGGGTTCTATGGACACTGGGGAAATGAAATTCCATTATGAGACCACACAAGGTCACTAAATTTACTGTCTGTCTGTGGAAATGGGCATCTTAAATCTGTTTCTGGAGAGAGAAGGGATTGTGTGCTGTACAGATGGCCAAGCTTCAGAACTATCAAAAAGAGATGGACTTATTGGGCTTTCTTGGAGTTTTTTTTCCCCCTCTAGGGGTCTAAAATCCTGTATTTGGAATTCAGACTCAAGCAGGAGTCACAAATAGCAACTCCTTTCAGTCTTGATACCAACTTATATTTGTATAGCACCCTTCATGTCAGATAAAGTCTTAGAGCGCTTTACAGTGATGGTGATGGATACCGACTGGGCAAGGGAGAAAGAGGAAATGAACTTAATAATAATAATCCTCGCATTTGATATAACGCCTTATCACATCATTGAGATGTCTCAAAGTGCTTCACAGAATACTCTGTAAAGTGAATTTACTGTATTTTTTGGGTGACTATAGGCATGATCGAATTGGCAGGTGTTTCGTGAAGATTTAAAGGACAGACGGACATCATTGATGTACATATGTACACCAATGCAATAATTCTGGTAACTGGGAGTAGTTAAGATCTGCCAGAAAGGAGTTCCTAGCAAGACATGCATCTGGTTATCAGTGGCAGCTGCAATTAGAAATATCGCATTTTGGGAACCCCACCACCCCTATTTATTCTAATTTGTTTTCTCTGTATTTTCCTCCAGGAGGCCATGGAAAACCCAGCCCAACACCGGATCTTTGTGACCCGGATCCTTCAGGATTTTGAGAGCGATACCTTTTTACCAGAGATTGATTTAAATAAGTTCAGACATCTTCCCAAGTAAGTAACTCTGTGGCAAAAGATCATAATAATCTAATTCTGTTTGTGAAATGGTGCAAATGTCCTATTTACAGTTAATTACGGGTTTCTTATCCCCCTCAATGTATGATAAGCAGTTGGGACTAGAATCTCCAATCTCACCAACTATTGAGATATTGCGATATGTGGAGACAAGGGTGTAATGTATGGGGTGGGAGAGAAGACGTGGAAGGGGAGGAAATAGCATTAAAGGATTGGGGAGAATAAAGCCTTGCTTGTGATCTTGCACAATTGTGGGCTTCCCAGTAAAAATCTGTGTAATAATATTATTAATAATAATCCTTGCACTTAATATAGCGCCTTTCACATTGGGAGGACGTCTCAAAGCACTTCAAAAGATTTACTAGAAAGCGTAGTGACTGTATACTTTGTAGGTGAATACATCTCTGTGGGTTTGAGAGAGCGTACCCAGGCATCACTGCAGTACAATCCCTGTTTATTGTCTTACAATATGCACAACCACCCTCTGCTCCCCTCCTGCTACCTTTAGCAATTTGCTTGCTTCTTTCAAGTGCGTTTTCTCATTAAAATGAACCGGGGCTCACGTTGCGCACATGAGCACTCCAAGGACAAGATGACTAAGCACTTAAAAAGGAATGCGGAGGAAGAGTCTCTTGGGAGAATTAATGTGTGAAGGCTCACAAAACCCTTGGACTTAAAGTACAGAACAGAGGTGAGAAGATATGTTAGCTGAGGTTAGGAACTGACAAAACAGCCTATAGATAAACCAAATGGCCTTCTCCTCTTTCTAAAAACACAGAGAACTGGTCCGATGAAACGAGAAATTTTCATTTGCACCAGTTGGGTGTGACAATATATTCTCTCCCCTTTTCTTATATCCGGAAGTTTGGGAGGGATACAAGTGCTTTTTGTATTCTCTTTGAGATGAATAGTGTGAAATATTGCTGTACAAGTTATCAAGTTATTTGAAATAAAATCATTTAATCCCTCAAAGCTCTTTTTGTGGCTGGTTGCCCAGAGCAACACCGGATCTTCATGACCTGAATCCATCAGGATTTTGAGAGCAATACCTTGTTGCCTGAGATTGATTTAGATAAGTTCAGCCGGGTGTCTGACACATGCGGAAACTTATCAACGTGCTAAAGAGGATCCAACCAAACTGGGAATTCCATGCATCCCACCTAGACGTGGAAATTCCAGAGATATTTATTGGAATGGAATGGGCACTCTCCCTGGAGGGACCCATCCTGCTTATCTAATTCCATAAAGTATTAGAAGCAAGTTGGTAAGGGGTACTGCGTCAACGACTTGTCTGCGATGTGTCTATCCAGCTAAAACCACATAGCTTGCCATTCAGGACACTTCCTGCTGCTTGTCCAGCCAGGACTACCCTACCCACTGGGCTTTGGCTTGCAACAACATCAAATTACATTTGTATAGCGCCTTTCACGTCAGGAGGACGTCCCAAGGCGCTGGGTTAACAGGAGCTGAGTGGGAGGATTTCCTGCCCCTAGAGACTGGTCTGCTCTTCCAAGTCCTGCTGATGAGCCAGGCTGACTGCTGTCATCAACAGCGCCCTGGAATGCTGTGGACCCACCTCAGGATCTGGACTACTGAGACCGCCACAGAGGGCTGGTTCGATTCCTTCATTCCATCACCAAACATGTCACCTTAGAGCCAGTTCAGCTTATGAAGACCCCACGTACCTCCCATCCCAAGGAAATAAGCACTGAGATAGAATGTTAGAAATGACTGTCGGTTGCTCTCCTCTGTTCACTAGTGTAGCAAATCTTCTGATGTGCAAAAAGGCTGTTCTGCTCTACATGTAGCTACTTTGAATAACCATATGAATAACCATGGAGAAATTTTGTCTTAAGCAGGTATCATTATTTATAATTAAAATGCCATTAGTATTATCATTTTTGACTACAAAGAAAGAACTTGCATTTTATAGCAGCTTGTTGTTGCAACTTCAATATCTCAAAGCATGCTTCAGGTAATTACTGTCAATTGTAAGACCTATTTTTCGACCACACTTGCTTTCGACCACTTTGGGGTCATCTTTGTCTCTCCCTTCCTCTCCCTCCTCATCCAACTTCCCCTAAGCTTAGGTGCACAGTCAGATGTGTGAAGCACTTTGAGACTGACATCCTCCCGATGTGTAAGACACTATATAAATGTAAATTATATCATGATGATCAAATTTATAGGGAAACATTTTGCAAACTAAGATTCCTTGAACAGCCATGAGGTGAATGATCAACTTATCTGGAGGATTTTTGGCCAGGATTCCCATGATTTAGCAGATCGTGTGAGGCATAGACTGGTTTTATTGTAATGAGAAAGCCCACTTGAAAGAAGTAATCAAGTTTCTAGAGAGAGCAGACATATAATGCAGGGTGGTTTCTATGTGGTTTTAATAATAATAATAATACTCCTTGCATTTGATATAGCGCTTTTCACGTCGGGAGGACGTCCCAAAGCGCTTCACAGAACACACTGTAAAGTGAATTGACTGTATATTTGTGAGCGAACCCGGCAGCCAATTGCGCATAGCAATGTCCCACAAACAATTGTAGATTGAAAATGACCAATTTATTGTTTTTGGTTTTGGAGGGATTATTATTAGGCGTGTGGAGTAAGGAAACTTGCCCAAGGTTTTGCCCTGACCTGCCTGGAATTGAACTCAGGTCTCTCGCTTGCAAAGCGAGTGCTCTAACCACTGAGCTACAGGACTCGACTTTTAGCTGGTTAGTCTCTAGCAGTTACCCCAACGCACACTCTGGGGTCCCCAAGCCTTGGCTCTTGCCAACCTACGCCCAATACTCTCCGGAATCAGGTAAGCAGGATGGGTCCCTCCAGGGAGAGAGTGCGGATTCCATTCCAATAAATATCTGGAATTTCCACGTGTAGTAGGAAAGCATGGAAATATCAGTTTGGTTTAGATACTCTTATGAGTTTTCGCATGTGTCAGATAACTGACCAAAAAAAAATTGTAAAACTCCAAAATGAGTGTACAGGATCAGATGGAATTGAATTGTCTTGTGTTTGTACACAGGTTCCCTGCTATTGATGACGGTGTTCATGAAGAGAATGGTATTCAGTATAAATTTGAAGTCTACGAGAGAATCACCAAAGAATAACCCAAGGGGATTCCAGAGTCAGTCACTGATCAGTTTACACATCTTCATGAGTTTGGACAATGTTTGTGTGATTCTTAAATTAATTACACCAGACCTGATTTGTAGATTTTTTTAAAAAAATGTATATATAAGGATATTTGTGAAGTGTTCTAAGACACTATCCTACGTGAAGGGGGCTCTATAAATTCAAGTTATTGTTGTTGTTTCAGTGTCAGCCTGAGGAATAATGGCAAATAATACAGAGCATTTGCTGCATAAAATATGTGTGGTGATCTGACTACTGATTTCTTTGTTCAGCTCAGTCTCAATCACATTGGAGTCCGCAAATGGAGTGTGTATATAATTTTAAACACTCACCCAATGTGGGTTTAAATACACAGGCAATGAATGTTATTTTTGTTCATAGGTGTAGCTCAAACATAGTAATGATTTTGCATTAACAAAAATACATCTTATGTAATTTAGGCCATTAAGCTAAGATCCATTAGTGGAAAAGGATTGATGTGGTTGAAATATCTCAATCTTGAATCATTCCCGAGAGAGCTTCTGTATTTTAACTGGAAACGTAGCTGTTATTGTCAGGGCTGGCCTGCAGATTTCCACACGAGAAGACTGACAGGTGTCGCAGAAGTTTGAGTGATTTGTTTCATTCTTAAAAGTTACAGGCTGTAAATTCATATCAGCTGCAGGGTTCCAGCAGGTCTTTACTGCAGCATTACAGAATTCATAAAAGTAGATGGGTGGACTCCTAAACCTTCATGTGCAGGCAGTAATGACTGAGGATTCAGAGGCAGACCTTCTCCACGTCTGTGTCATTTCCATAGAGTGATACAGCACGGAAACCAGCTTTTTACTCTGTGCTGGTGCTTATATTCCATACATCCTTTCTATTCTTCATTCCTCTACCCCTCTATTCCCGCATGTATGAATCAAGGTTGCTTGCACCTAGTCCCACCACTTTATAATATATCCTGTGATGCACTTTGAGACATCTCAACGGTGCAGTAAGGCGCTATTTGTTGAGCCCTGTAGCTCAGTGGTTAGAGCACTCACCTCGCAAGCGAGAGACTTGGGTTCGATTCCCAGCAGGGCGAAAGCTTGGGCAAGTTTCCTTACTCCACACGCCTGATAATAATCCCTCAAGAAAGAAAAATCAACAATAAAATTGGTCACTTCAATCCACGACTGTTTGTGGGACACTGCTGTGCGCAATTGGCTGCAGCGTTTTGCCCACAAATATACAGTCAATTCACTTTACAGTATATTCTTTGAGATGTCTAGAAGACGTGAAAAGCGCTTTATCAAATGCAAGAATTATTATTATTATATCAAATGTAGGCCAGAAATCTATCAGATTGAAGTAAGATGGAATGGAGTGTGGTGGCTGCAGGGATAAGTGCAGAGCAAGGTGAGTAGTACATTGCTAGAGGTGCCATTCCTCAAATGAGAATTAAACCAAGGGCCTGTCTGCCTGTTCAGAGTTTCTTCCAGTGAACTGACCAACAATCCTCCAGATCAAATTGTTGATTTTCTTCGTGGCCTTTTGTGGGTCATTGTGTACAAAATGGCTGTCATGTTTACCTACTAATACACAGCCATTACAGTGATAGCAATTACCTGTGAATTGCTTTGAGATGTTTCAACATTATAGGCATTATATCAAGGATTATCATTATTGGAATCATAGATAATTTAATGCTGTAATGGAAAGAAATGGAAACGATGGGTGGACATTTGGACTGGCTGGCTGTGGGACATGTCACATTACTCTATGCAAATTGACTGCTGTATTCACCTACAAAATACACAGGCACTACACTTTATAGTAGAACCTGTGTAACACAGTGAGATGATCTGGCATGGAAGGCTATATCAGATTGCAAGGAAATTCATTTAGTTTCTGCTTGTGTGTGTTATTCCAATCATCTACAGGAGTGTAGGACAGATGACAAGAATCACGAGCTATTTCATATGTATAGTTTTTCATTCGGCTGATAATCAGGTTCTGATACTGAGTCGTGTACAAGGAAAATGTTGTACTTTTATGTAAAGATGTCATGATTTTATGTCATGATTTCATGCGTGTGCGATCGACATGAAAAGTGCCCCCAATTTCAAAGCCACTCCTGTGATTCAATACAAGGAAAAGATCCATGATAATTAGGTTTAACAGTTACTCAGACGTTTGTTTAATAAACAGGTGCTATCAAACACGCCAATTTCTTCGTGGTCTTTGAATGTAGAAGGATGTAAGCTGTTTAAGAATGACTCATGCAAATGCCAGTTATTGAGCAATACTAACCAGCAGAACTCCCCAACAGTTCTACTGCCATTAAAATCTGCAATAGACTGAAAAGCAGCTTCTCTTAGCAACCAAATAGTATAGGCATCAATGACATCAGTCAACAGAGTGGGCAGCTTCTATTGATGATCATTTTGAATTTGATGTGTTAATATTTAATCCTAGATTTTCTGGTCGTTCGTCAAAAACCAAAAACAAGAATGAGACGAACAGCACAGTGTCAGCCTGGCTCAGATGAAAGCACTCTTGTGGGTTCAAGCCCCACATTGGGAATTTGTGCTCATAGTCTAGGCTGACAGATACAGTGCTTGGGGTGGGGGTCCCTGTATTGTCAGAGATGGATAAAATGTTAAACTAGAGTCATGTCTGCCTGTTCAGATGGACATTAAAGATTCCCAGCACTATTCAAAAAGAGAAGGGGATACAATTGCATTGCTAGAGTAGAGGACATTGCTGTGCACAAATTGACTGCTTTGTTCGCCTACAAATCACTGCACTTTACGGTAAAATCCTGTTAGGTGCTTCGAGACATTTCAACAATGTACTAAGGCACTGTCAAATGCACGAATTATGATTAATATCCTCTGCCACTGCAGACATTGTTACATCTCTTTCTAGCGTTCAAGGAAAATAAGGTTTTACTGTTACGCAACTGAGAATTGTCACCTCAAGGTCTGTCAGTATTTAACTGATAACGCGCAGTAGAAAAACCTTCAATAGACTACCCCCTATTATATTAAAGATTTATCAGCACACATCATTCATCTTATACTAATAAATTGACATAGAGACATGATTTATACCGTAGAAAGGTTTTGCATCTGGCAGTGTCATGGGCTATCGTTGATGAGCTATATTAAAAATGCTTTAATTAAGCCCCAAAATATGAGGTATGCATTGTATTCTACAACTATATAGCAACAGAGGAAAGCACACACCGTTCAGAGAGATACATCTATGTTCTGCAACAAATGTATGACACTTTTTTCTGGTTATCATGGGAGCTAGAGTCTTCCCAAGTAGGACAGACAGAGAGAGACCGAGAGAAAGAGACTGAGAGAGAATATATTTTAAAGTGTAGTGACTGTGTTTTGTGGGAGAGAGAGAAATACAGAGAGAGACTCAGAGACACAGAGAAACAGAGAGAAGAGACACTGAGATAGTGAGAGACAGAGAGAGAGACTGAGAAAATATATTAAACGATTCTCCCTCTGAATCCTCCCAAAAGGAGTCCTCCCACAGGATGCCTCCCAGATGAATAAAGATAAAGACAAAATGTCTGTCTGTGTCAATCTGCATTCCATATTGGATCATTTGGTTGCAAGCAAAGCTGCAACGGGTATAGCTAGCTATGAATAAAATGATGGTCAGAACCCACTTGCAGTCTTATATGTGTCAGTTTGGCTCAGTCGGTGTAGCACTCTTGCTTCTGAGTCATTGGATTGCAGTTTCAAACTTCGAAGCACGGACTCCACAGCCTAAACTAGCACTCCATGCAGTACTGAGGAAGCACTGCTTTGAGATATCTTTTGGATAATAATAAAAATCCTTGCGTTTGCTATAGAGCTTTAACACGTCGGAAGGACGTCTCAAAGCGCTTCACGGGATTTACTGTGAAGTTGAGCGACTGTATTTGTTGGCAAATAGCAGCACAATTGCGCACATCAGTGTTCCACAACATCCATGGAGCGACTGACCAACTTCATTTGGGGGATTGTTGGCCAGGACACAGCTAGACACAGCTAGAGAGAAACTCCACTCTCTCTTCGAACAATGAGATCCCAATCTCTGCCTATTTTCATGTTGACATTAAAGATCTCGCGGCACATTATAATAATAATCCTTGCATTTGATATAGCGCTTTTCACGTCGGGAGGACGTCCCAAAGCGCTTCACAGAACACACTAAAGTGAATTGACTGTATATTTGTGGGCGAACGCGGCAGCCAATTGCGCACAGCAATGTCCCACAAACAGTCGTAGATTGAAAATGACCAATTTATTATTGTTTTGGTTTTGGAGGGATTATTATTAGGCTCTGTGTGGAGTAAGGAAACTTGCCCAAGGTTTCGCCCTCTGCCTGGAATTGAACTCAGGTCTCTCGCTTGCAAAGCGAGTGCTCTAACCACTGAGCTACAGGACATTTTTAAAATGAGAAGGATGCTCGCAGAATGCTCCAGATTAATCTGTCGTTCACCTCAAGCAGTGTTCATCTGCAAAAAGAAATCTCACTACACCTGAGAGTAATAATAATAAAGTAATCCTTGCATTTGGGACATCATTGTTATTGGGTCGTCTCAAGGCGCTTCACAGGATTTTACTGTGAATTAGAGTGACTGCATTTGTAGGCAAACTCAGCATCCAATTTGTGCGCTGTAGTGTCCCACAAACAGCTATGAAGTGAATCATCAATTTTATTTGGGGATTGTTGGCAGGACATTTGGAGAAACTCTCTTCTCTTTTCAAGTAATGCCATGGGATCTATTTGTAATTGCTTGAACATGCAGACGTTAATTTGGGTTCATTTCTCATCCAAAGGAGAGCATCTCCGACAATACAGCACATCCCCAGCACTCCATTGGCGTGTCAGTCTAAATTGTGAGTTCAAAGGCCTGATGTGAATAATTGTTTTGGATGTGATAAAGCACTCTAAAATTACAAATTCTTTTATTGAATCAAATATTTTTTCCTAGTTCCAAATGATATCAGGATTCCCATTTGTACGTTTCTGATCAACACTATGAACGTTCAATGTAATTAATGCTGATTTCTGATTCCATGTGTGTATAATTCTCACCCGTCATTTCAGAATAATTAGGTATTGAGGGATTTAAAGAACGGTTGAGTGAGTGACAGGTTTTGAGAAAGACATTTCTGTTGCTGTCGAGGGAGTGCTGTAGTTAATTGTTTTGAGATTTATGAGTATTAGGAGATTAAAGGAATATGTAAACGAACAGGATAGAAGTTCTATTAGCAGTTGCATACAGATGTAACGTGTAAAACAACATGAGGGATCTGGATGATGTTACTTTGAACTGTGTATTTTTAGCCATTTTGCTTTTCAGCTTACTCGACAGTTCAGTTAATAGCACTTTCACCTCTGAGTCAGGAAGTTGTGGGTTCAAGCCCTATGTTGCCCTGTAGTCTAGGGTAATACTCCATTGCAGTGCTGGGGGGGTGTTGCATTATCAGAGGTGTTGTCCTTCAGATGAGATGTTGAACCAAGGTTTCATCTAACTGTTCAGGTGGATGTTAAAGATCCCATGGCACTATTCGAAAAGAGAAAGAGTTTCTCCCGGTATCCTGGCCAACAATCCCCCAGATAAAGGGTACTGTGCCGACCAAGGTCAAAAGGGAGTTGGATATATACTTGAGGAAAGTACATTTGCAAGGCTATGGGGAAAGAGCGAGTGAGTGGGACTAATTGGATAGCTCTTTCAAAAAGCCCAAACAGGCACGATGGACTCCTTCCATAGGATTCTATGATTCTATGATAAAATTGGTCATTCTCTTCATGGCCATTTAGTGAGACATTGCTCAACGCAAATTGGCTGCTAAGTTCACCTACAAAATACACACGTCACTTCAAATCTTTATAGACGTCTTCCCAATGTGAAAAGCACTATTTTTAATGCGAGGATTATTATTGTTGTTTACTGTAAACATTCAAATATAAACATTCACTAACTGATTACCGGAGGGCAATTCTTTAATGACAGTCATAAATATTGTAATTCCATTAACGCAAATATTTTCCATTATCTAAGCAGACAAGCTCTCCTAAGGACTAGAATTTCTCATATTTATAGCCTTAAGATTTAAAATTGTGCAAGTTGTTTTTATTTTAGTGTGTCCTGTTGTATTTATTCTCCCAATTGGCTTGTGCCTCCCAATTCCTGGTCCTAGTCTTTTTGTGCTGAGGTACAGTTCCACAGGCACTGGTTGGAATCCAATAACCCACTCAAATTGGCCAATGTGTGACTGTGTGGGCCCTGGCACCTGGCAGTGAGGGGCGTTCCCCAAGCCTCGGCTCTTGACAACCTGTGCCTAATACTTTCCGGAATTAGGTAAGCAGGATGCATCCCTTCAGGAAGAAAATGCACTTTCCATTCCAACAATCTATCACTGGGATTTCTATGTGTAGGTGGGATGCATGGAACTCTCAGTTTGGTTTAGATACTCTTAAGCATGGTGATGGGTTTCCGCACATGTCAGACACCTGGCTGACCCCACCCCACCTGCCAAAAAGGCCACTTGACTTTAGAGGGTGTCAAAATAGAGCCTGAAATCTTCTCACCCAGCTACCACACACCACACACAGTACTGGCAGAGGCTTCTGTAGATAGTGCCTAGTTCCTTAACCCTACTGGGAAAGTCAGGGCCAATTCAGTCTCCCATGATTGACACCACAAATTCAGCACTGACTGAGTTTTGAACCAGTGAGCTCCCAGCTCTATCCACTGTACATCTCCACCTCCTCTTAGAAAATTCTTAATTCCAATCTTAATGCGTTAGCTGGTTTCTTGCATTTCTTAAAAGAAACCCGTGGAAATAAAAATGACTTAAAAATGCAGGGAATAATAGTTGCATCTAGTACAGAACTGATAACATCAAAGTGTTTCAAAGTGCCTCAAGGCTAAGACCAAGAGACATTTTGCAGTCTCTGATATCCTTCAAGCTTGCTATCTTCAGTAAGAGTGGGTTCAATAAAGTGCAGTTGTGAGTTGTGGGTCCTCTCCACATAGAGGGTGACTCTTTAACAGGCTGCTCAGATCAGGGACAATACCATGACTATCCAAGATGTTTGTCACTTGATCCAGTTCTAATAAGGGTCAGATATGGTGGATTAGAATCAATGTAATCTTATTACATCTACGAACGTTATAACTAACATCAGAATGCTTCCCCACACTCTTCCTTACCTTGCTCCTTTCTGCTCCTGAAAATGCATCTCCAGAACTTTTTTCTTCATACAGAACACAGTGAGGTTCAGAAGGATCTCAAAAGGACCAATTGACAATGTAAACTGAGTTTTCTGCAGGGAAACACTAAATGGTACATTACGTTGATTTAATGATAATTCTTCCATTTTATATAGCACCTTATCGCGTCATCAAATGCTTACAGGATTTCTGCTGTAAAGTGTATTGACTGTATTTTTTGTAAGCAAATGTGGCGGCTGATTTACTCAGCAATGTCCTACAAACAGCCATGAAGTAAATGACCAATTTTGATCTAGAGCATTGGTGGCCAGAACTACCTGGAGAAACTCCCTCCTTGTTTCAAATAATGTTGTGGGATCTGAACCACCAAACCTCGGTTTAACACGCTGTGACTACACAGTGCACCCCAAGCACTGCATTAGTATGACAACCAGTACAATGAGTTCACGCCCACGTGGGGCTTGATCCACAACCTTCTGACTCATAGATGACTCCAACTGAGCCAGGCTGACTCGTTCCAACCCAAGTTCTCCTCGGGGCCAAGGTCTAATGACTACACCTAGACTCCATACAACTCAGTTATGCCACAGGTACTTTATCAAGTGCTATTTCTAGTACACATCAATAAGCTAGGTTACAATGGGAGGTCAGCACAGCCAAGCCAGATCCTAACCTCACACACTGTTCCTACCTTTCAGCAGGAGTCAAAGTAGGGGGAAAGCCATTTACCAACATTCAATTCCTCACCACGATGGGCACAAAATGTAACACAGAAGAAAAGAGCTAAGAGACTATTACAAATTGGTCTTCGTTTAATAATAACAACTAAAACTAAACCTGGCAAATCTTCCAAATCATACAGTAGACTGAACACAAAGTCCAACTTATTTATTATTAATAGTAGTAATCATACTTACATTGGATCAAACACCTTTTGCGTCAGGAGGACATCTCAAAGCACCTCAGGATTTACTAAATATTGTGACTACGTGTTTATTCAACTTGAATATTTCAGAGGCAGCAAAACCTTTTTCGCTGCTGACACAATATTAAGATAAAACCTAGTCTAGATATTACAGTGCAGCTATTCGATATTGTAACATAAGTACATGAACTAATGGTGTAATTCATTATAATTTGGTTCGACCCCCAGCTGTCTTTTCTCCCCCACATCCGGCCCCTGACCAGGACCTCCTTCTTCCACCTCTGCCACATTGCCCTCCTCCGACCATTACACCCCAAAACTCTGGAACTCTCTCCCTCAATCCCTCCATTTTCTCCCCTCCCTCCCCTCTTTCAGGTCCCGCCTGAAACCTTTCTTCTTTGACCATGAAAACTTTCCTCTGCTTACAACCACCTCTCCCCTCCCCCCGGCTCAGAGTCAGGCTCCGCCACTGTTAAACGCTCTGAGACGCTACCCTGAGTGGAGGGCGCTATACAAGTGCAAGTTGTTGTTATAATTTTTAAGGAAGAGTCGTACTTGCAGTATTTAAGTGATTAAGTTGAATGATGCTGTGGACTATTACATGAACAGAAGCTGCAAATGTATTTTGTGTGATACAATGTTTTACTCCTTAAAACCTTCTTATTCCCTGAGACCAGAGGTGCGTTCACTGTGAGGATAACCACTATATCGCACAGTAAATCAGATTACTGCCTGTGATGTTGCCTGATTCTACCCTAGATATGGTCTGTGGGGAAGATGCTGCTGACTAGAGAGCACCACCCTCTCTCTCTCTCTCTCTGCTGAGCTGATGGCCTGCTCAGCACTGGCTGCTGGAAGTGTCAGTCAAACACACATCACTAGCACAGACTTTTATCAGGTGAGGAACAGCACAAAGTCCACATCTTTGCTTCTCAAGTGCTGGCAAAATCCTGGAACTCATCAATCCTCCGCTGCTGACAGTTCAGAGAGGAAAAATCCTTTGACATTCAAGAATAGGGAGTTTTAGTTTAAGTTAAACCCAGATTTCAAAATCTTTCGGTAAAAGCAATGTCAATTACACCTAGTGTGGATCTTGAAGATAGCTTGTGTACAAGTGACAGCTTGTGTGTTATGGTGCATTCAGTATAAATGAGTCTGGTGGATTACACAAACACTGGCAGCTTTCAGGACCCATTTACTACTAATATTAGATCCTGGAAGATGTGAAACAAATGATTCGCACCAGGTAAGACTTCATTTTTACTTCTGTATGATTGTGTTTGAGTGTGAAGACTGACACATAATCTTTCATTGCATAAATCCATTCAAAAACTCTGCTGAAGTGGTCGATTTTGTTTCTGCTGTTTTCATTCTGTTTCAGCTTCAAATAGCTTTGGTCTCTTTCTCTCCCATTCATTCTCCTCTGCTGTTCACTATGTACAAGCGCTCAGAGATGCTACCCTGAATGAAGGGTGTTATATAAATGCAAATTGTTGTTGTTGTGGTTAATAGTATTCAAATATTACCCTTATGGTCTGTATCTGAAATCTCTAAATTATATGCATAAATAATATATTTTTCAAACCTCAGCCTTTTCATAATATTCATAACGTTGCAATAGATTAAAGATGTGAGTGCTATAGTATTCATGCTTTCACTAGGCTGTAAATACTGTGTTCAGCAATTCATAGAATAATTCCCTGGTTGTCACATTATGTAGATGTTTGTGATAAGTTATTAGTTATTATTACACTGGTCTAGCCCTTCTTCCGAATTAACTCTTTGTCTTTACTAAGAGAATCTGCAACATCACGTAACAGCACCTTTGTTGTTATGCCTAAAGTCCGACCAAGAATAATTTTAAACAAAGTTAGGGAACTGGGTGGTACCGTGGGCGAGCACACTGTTCTTTCAACATTGCGAGCTGAATTTGAATGCAAATCAGATTGATGGGATCAAAGTTCCTCTCTGCTGGCTCTAATCATCCCAAATTAATGTATCGTTAGCAGTCTCAACACGGTCACCAGAAGGCAGGAGGGAAATTCTGCACAAAACAGCAATCTTCCATTTCGCCCACAAAATATACAGTCAATTCACTTACAGTATAATCTGTGAAGCACTTTGAGATGTCTTGAAGACGTGATAAGGCGCTATGTCAAATGCAAGGATTATTATTATTATCTTACTGGCAGATACCACAAGGAAGGCTGGTGAAGGAATTAGCAAAAAAAACCTGCATCGGTGCATTAGGTGATAAGTCTGGGGTTACGCCACATTGTTGGAGCAGTATAGAGAGAGCTTTACTGTACCTTTGAGCAGGCTGTAGCAGATCTAGGAGTTCGTAAAGGTGACCCTAGAACCCTGAAATGAAAAAAGGATTTCACAAATCCCCCAAAAATACTTCTATCACGCAACAAATATCTGTCTTTAACTCTTTGAAGCTCACGGTCTGACTCTGTGAAACATTTTAAGATGTTTACCTGTGTGAAATGCGCTTGTTCAATTGGCTGGTGCGTCACCTACAAAATAAACGGTTACTACACTTAAAGTATATCCTATGAAGCACTCTGAGACGTCCTCTCGACATGAAATGAGCTGTACCAAATATAAGTATTATTTAACAAATGCAAGTTGGTGTTGTTGTAATCCCTTCGGACATCCTCTCACATAGCCGTTACATTGTGCAAAAACCTTCTAATCCTTTCTCACTACATACATGAGGGAGAAGGGAATAGAGAGGTATGAGCAAGGCTAGGGCGAGAGGATTCAGGTGAAGCTAACTTGGGTAGTGTCATAAACACTGGCTTAGACCAGTTGAGCCAAATGGCCTGTTTCAGTGCTACATATTCTATGTAATTCTAGGTAATTCTATACAGTTTATCTGGGTAGGAAATGGTTTCAACTCAATAAATGTTTACTGCAGTTAGGTGTGTGAAGAATCATGTTTCCTGCATTACTATTGTATACTATGGGAGGCAAGCAATCTCAGAGTATTCGGAGATACAGTATGACATATAGATTTTAATACTCTCTGCACTCCCTTCATCAGTCAATACTTTTTGATCCAAACACTGGGATGCTCCAGTCTGCCCACATTTCAATGGAAGCCTCTGATGTTATTTCTGGGCTGGTCCACCAGGAGGTGCCATACCCAGTGAAGGAGAATGTGTCAATCAGCTTTAGTATAGATTAGGAGGGCATAACATAACCACCAAATTGTAATGCTGTCAGATGTTATGCCCCAGCATAGTAAAACATTGCAGAAAGTAGGAACCCCTTGTTATTCAATTGGCGGATTGCTTCTCCGGGGGTAATAAACCCTCAACAAAAAAAACATTTGATAACTCAATCCACGACTACTGTGCGACACTGCTGTGCGCAATTGGCTGCCGTGTTTCGCCCACAAAATCCACCGTCAATCCACTTTACAGTATATTCTGATAAGCGCTTTTAGACATTTTAACGATGTGATAAGGCGCTATATCAAATGCAAGGATTATTATTATTACATTGACTCTGATAAAGAAGAGATCCAGTATGGTTGTGGATAATGAGTAAGCACTTATTCCATAATTATTTCTGGAGCAATCCTACAACAGAAGCATTCATAACAATGATTATGCATTTCATACAGGGCCTCAGCGTATCATTGAGCTGCCTCAAAGCTTTTCACAGGAATTACTGTAAAAGATAGTGACTGTGTATTTGTAGGTGATTGCAACAGTCAATTTACATACAACAGTGTTCCACGAACAGCCAAGAACTGTATGACTAATTTATCTGGAGTACTATTGGCCAGGACAACAGGAGAAACTCCCTTCTCTTTTCGAATGCTGAGTGACATGGGATCTTTAACTTATAGCTGAACAGGCAGATGGGTGGTAGGATGAGTGGATCACAATTTAACATCTCATTCAAAGGACAGGTGTCGCGTCTGATAATGCAATGCTTCCCCATTGTTGCATTGGAGTGCAATATTCTTTACATATATTATTAAAATTTGCAGATGACAGAAAAATAGGGAGTGTGGCTAACTGTGACAAGAACTGTAAGCAACTTCAGGAGGACATAGAAGGTGATACAGTGGAACCTCGTCATAACAGATGATTGATTAAAAAAATGGCTGAGCTTCTGCGCGATGCACATGCGTAAAGTAACGTGGAGGTAACCAAATGATCTGAAAATTGTCCAAATTTGAAATGAACAAGAGCAAACGAGGGAGAAAGGGTAGATGATGGCAGTGAGAACAAAAGAAGTGAGAGAATGAGAAAGAAGAGAGGGGGGGAAGAATAAATACAACACTAAAGGGAGAGATGAAAAAGGAAAGTCTCAGACAAGAAAGAAAAGGTCGAGAACAAGAACGAAAATGCTGAGAGAAATAAGTAAGAAAAGAGAGGATGGAGACAGCAGAAGAGGAGAAAGGGAGTCAATAGAGGAATCCAATGAAAGGGAAGAAAGAGTTTACAGGAGTGGAGAGACAATGAGAAAGGAGAGCAAAAGGAAACATAGAGCAATACGGAATGGATACCAAATAGAAGAGAATTCACTCGAACAGAGAGCCCAACAGAGTGAGGTGGGAACAGAGTGAGAAAGACTTGGATGAGAGTGGGAATCAGGTGTAGAGGGGGGAGGAGGTGCTAAGTGAACTAAATAAATAACCAATAAAATAAGTAGAAATAACAGCACAGGCAGTGTGTCGGGAACGCAGTATGCAAGAGTTTGTACACTGTGAGACTGTCCCTGACTGTCACGTCTGCAGGAAATATCTCTGGCTTTACACACTCCGGCTCCGAATCATTGAGCTGAAGTGTGAGTTAGACACACTCCCACAAATAAGGAAAGGGGATGAATTTCTGGATAGTTTTATGCAGGACTCAGTCACACCTCAGAGGAAAGCACAGGTACAGGAAGGGGAGGGTGTGAATGTCAATGAGCAGGGTAGCGGGAACCTAGGAGAGGTAGAGAAGGAGTTCCTGCAGACACTGGTCCTGTCCAACAGGTACAATGTACTCGATACCTGTGAGCACAAGGAGAACGACTGTAGGGAGGAGAGCCACAATGCAGACCAAGGCACAATGGAGCAGAATGCTGTCCGAAGGGCGGGAGGAGCAGAATAGAAATATAGTAGTGATTGGGGATTCAGTAGTTAGGGACGTAGTTAGCATCCTGTGTAGTCATGAATTAGAGTCCCAAAGCATGTGTTGCCTACCTGGCGCCAGGGTAAGGGATATCTCGAGGCGGCTGGAGAGGAATTTGGAAAGGGAGGGGGCAGATCCAGTTGTTGTGGTCCATGTTGGGATGAACGACATAGGTAAGAACAGGGAGGAGGTCCTGCAGAGGGAGTTTCAGGAGTTAGGAGCTAAAAGACAAGACCTTGAGAGTAAGAATCTCTGGATTATTACCCAAGCCACATGCAAATTGGAGAAACACATTAGGAAAATTAACACCTGGCTAAAGGATTGTGTGGGAAAGAAGGGTTCCATGTTATAGGACACCGGCACCATTACTGGGACAGGAAGGAGCTGTACCGATGGGTCAGGCTCCACCTGAACCGGAATGTCCTAGCGGAAAGGGTAAATCAGGCTGTGGCAAAGGCTTAAAACTAGTAAGATGAGATGACGGATCAGAAGGAAATGGCATAAACCCAAATATAAAGAAAACAGGAGATGAGAGTATAGGTCAGACAAAACTAAGGAATAAGGAGAACATAAATGGTCAGAGAATCAATAGAATTATAGAACAGAAGTGTGAAAAGACTGTCAAAAATAAAGTGAGAGAAACAACTAATAAACACAAATTAAACTGTCTGTACAGCAATGTACACAGCATCCAAAATAAAACAGGAGAATTGGAGGCAATAATTCGTAGTGAGGAACCAGATATAGTAGCGATTACCGA